AAGTATTATCATACATGTCTTACTTCTAGAACTCAGCAGTAGCAGAATACTGCTTGGCCATTACAGTTCCAAAGATATTTCAAAAATAGCTCCACTTAACAAAGATTTTACTTACCAGACAAGCAAGTCTGTCAAGCAGCGAACCATTGGGCATGTATTCATACACCAAACAGGGCTGAGCACCATCACTTGAGAAACCAAGCAATTCTACTAGATTTTCATGTTTACACCTAAAGCAAAACAATTCCATTCAGAGATGCTCTGCAAATCTCCTAACATTTGTGATCTCCAATCCCACACTCCAGCCTCTCACTCACAGGTACCAGCCATGTTTCTGCAGCAGTACTTAAACGTAAACTGCTTGTGATATGCATGAAACATTCTCACTTAAGCTGGAAATTTAAGTTACACTGATAAAACAAAAAATAGGGACCACAGTGACTAAGGTGTTATCTGCCAACTTAAGACTCTCAGAAAACGCTACAGTGACATTTATGGTCCTGTACTTACTTTGCCATAATTTCTATTTCTTGATCAAATTGCTGTTTCAAATCCTGTGCACTCACATCAACCACCTACAAAGAGAGTACTTGACATCAATATTGCTGGATGTATTAAATTGCATGATTGCTCACAAAAAAATTAAATTGTAAGCCTTTTTTTTAGTTAGTTACACATGACAACTGCTTAATCGTTTATCAGATTTTTTTTTTGTCTTTGAGTTCAGTTTAAAAAAAAGTATCAGAACATGATTTTTAGTTTTTTGTATCACGTAACATCATATTATTGGAGTAATCAAAACAGTTTCAGCGGTCACCAAGTTACCATAGCAGGCTTGGGTTAGACCCTTACGACTATCTGATTCCAACCCCCTGCCCTGGGCAGGGCTGCCACTCACCAGAACAGGCTGCCCAGGGTCCCATCCAACCTGGCCTTGAGCACCTCCAGGGATGGGGCACCCAAAGGCTCCCTGGGCAGCTTGTGCCAATGCCTCACCTCCCTCACAGCAAAGAATTTATTCTGATCTAAACCCACCCTCGTCCTATCACTACATGCACATGTAAAAAGTCCCTCTTCAGCTTTCCTTATGCCCTCTTCAGGTACAAGAATGTCACTATATAATATCCTCAAAGCCTTCTCTTCTCCAAGCTGAATAAGGCCAGCTCCCTTAGTCTGTCTTCATAGGAGAGGTGTTCTATCTCTCTGATGCTGATCATCTCTGTGGCCCCCTCTAGACCCATTCCAACAGACCCACATCCTATTGCTGGGCAGCCCAGATCTGGATGCAGCACTGCAGGAGGGGCTCACAGAAGCAGTGGAGGAATACAGTCACGTTCCTCACACTGCTAGTTACTCTTACGATGCAGCCCAGGACACAGTCGGCTCTCCAGGCTGTGAATGCAGATTGGCAGTTTATGCTGTGGTTCAACCAGAACTCTCCTCCTCAGGGCTGCTATCAATTCATTTTATATCCAGCCTGTATTTGTGTATTTTATTTCACTGCAGTTTTCTATTAATAGCGCTCGCTAGTTATAAAATATGTTATTCACAGAAAACAGCTATTACAAAGACTAAAATTATATGGTAATGCCTATCTCCCAAAGCACTGTGCCACAGAAATTAGAAGGGAAACCTCTTCTGCCCTTCTTGTGTGCAGGGGGAAGAGGGGAACAAAGGGAGCACCCAGCTCCTCCTAAGGACTGTCTGAGCCACTGCAAGAACTATGGAAATGCAAAATTTCACCTCTGGTCACTGTGACAGCTCACACCACCCACAGGACTACAGGACAATGTTCTTGAACCCAACCCATATTTAACATGGTGATACTTTCTGGAAATGTATTACTCAACTCTTCATAGATGATCAAGTCTATACTATCAAGAACAAAGTTATTAATTGGAAAAATGCTGAGGACAACTCACAGCAGCAAGTTTCTTGACAGCCACATTTCTGCCATTGATGTAGCCTTTGAACACAATGCCAAAGCCACCTTCCCCCAGCTTATTTCCTCCAGCTGATTCTGGTCGTTCATCAAAATTATTTGTAACACTTTCCAAGTCATGAAAGCGAAAATTGTGGAAATCTAGAAGACACAATTGACATTTAGCACAGAACCACATTTTCACTCAAATAACAAGTGTATTAAATAGATCCTCTACTTGCTACAACACAAATCTTGACACAATGGAAACTTATTTTCAGAGATGATGAAGATACCATTAAAAAAAATGCAAATACATACATGTAATCAGCTATGCATAACTTTCTTCTCAGATAGTGTGTAGCAGCCTTCTGACCATATTTTTTTTTTTTTTAATTAATGCTCATAATACAGGTAAATAAACTAAACATGAAGCAGATCACAGAGAAAGCCACACACTGTGTCAGATGTAAAGATATATACACCATGTTTCTGGCAACAAAAGTTGAAATGCAGTGGACAAATTATATACTAGATTACTTTCTTCAGTCAACTTTTTTCAAATTTCTTAGTCATTTCTGATAACTAAAATCCAAATTCAAAGCATAAGGTGCAAAACAGTCTACAAAATCAGTACTGAAAGAAGGTAACAGAATTACATATACAATAAACCACATTACAATTTCAAAGAAGCACAGTATTACAGGTGTTGGAAGAGACCTCTGGAGTTCATCTACTTCAACCCTCTGCTAAAGTGGGTTCCCTACAGTAGACTGCTCAGGAGAGCATCCAGATGGGTATTGAACAACTCCTGAGAAGGAGACTCCACCACCTCTCCCCAGTTTTTCCCCATGTTCAGACGGAACTTATTGTGTTCCTGTTTGTGCCCACTGCTCCTTTTCTGTCACCATACACAGCCAAAAAGGGCCCAGCTCCACACGCTCAAGAGCTGCCCATTAGATACTTAGGACTGATAAGATCCCTTCTTAGTCTTCTCCAGGCTGAAAAGGCATCTCAGCCTTTTCTCATAAGGAAGACACTTCATGCCCTTCAAAGGGCCTTTGTGGCCCTTTGCTAGACTATCTCTAGAAGTTTCCTGTCTTTCTTGAACTAGGGAGCCCAGAACTGGACACAGTGTTCCAGATGCGGCCTTACCAGGGCAGAGTAGAGGGGGAGAATCCTCTCCCTCGACTGCTGGCCACACTTTGTAACACGCCCCAGGATACCATTGGCCTTTTTGGCCACAAGGGTACACTGCTGGCTCATGGCCAACCTGCCATCCATCAGAACATGCTGGCACATCTCTGCAGAGCTCCTTTCCAGCAGGGCAGCCCCCAACCTGTACAGATGCATGTGGTTATTCATCCCCAGGTGCAGGACTCTACACTTACCCACTAGTGTGGCTACATAATATCTCATTTTCTGGTGTCATATTTTCATAGGCTGTATTCACAGTCACAGAGAACAAGATTGAAAAGCAAAAAAGCACAAAGACACAAATAGTCATTACTCCAATGCATCCCTAGGACTTATTTCACACAGGTGAAGGTCAGATCAGCATTTTAACAAACTAAGCACCTACCTGCGTTACTAGACTGCGCGTTGCTATTTTCTTGACTTAAACATGGAGGGACTGAAGGTTGCTTCTCTGTATTCTGAGACAAAACAGGCTTTACAGATGTTACTTCTTTTTCCTGTGTAGGCTGTTGCTTCTCATGTACAGGCAAAGTTTCCTGTGAAGAAAGAGGTAATGTAACTTCTTGTGCCATCCCGACAGCTTCTGAAAATGGAATTTAGAAAAAGTGTTAACCAGATTAGAAATCAGAGAACATAAATAACATTATGCCAGTGTTTACTAAGGTTATATTTTTCCACCGCATGTAAACTGTAGGGCTTTTATTTAAACTTGGAAAATCGTAGTCCACTTCATTAAAACTCTTATTGTAAATAATGTAAAATATATCCTCTTTTGATTATTTTCACCTAATCATTTCTGATCGTCCAGTTACTGTGAAGGTCACTAGCATCATACAGATATGGGAACACAGCACAGCACACAATACATACGGGTAACAGTTACCTGGAAGCAAAAGACTTGCTGGTGCCAGAAACTGGTTCCTAATCAACAGATCCACAAGGTCACCAACCGTACAATTTGTTGTTCCCCAGTCATAAAGCAATTCACACGTGGGACTTTTTCCCATTTGCACAAATGCTTCAAATCTCCTTAAAAAGAAAAAATAAAGCTAACTTTGAAAAGAAAAGTAACATGGAGAACCACAAAGAAGGGAGCGTGATTAATGGTAAACAAAAAGACACAAAATTCACCATGTAATGAATTGTACTTCAGCAGTACAGGAGAAGTACTGCTACATACAGACATACAGGAAACGCAACTACACAAAATAACACCAAAGAAATGCAAACTTGGGTAAAAGTACACATTCTACATTTGTCCACAGCAAATAGTCTGCGGGGCTTATTTGGATTTCCTCAGTCAGTTCTCTGTGGCTCTCTTAGAACCGTTTGATTTGCAACAGGCTCTCATAAACCATCCATAGACCCATCCATAGACCTGAACAGGGACACCCACGGCCAGAGCAGGCTGCTCAGCGCCATGCCCAGCCTGACACCGAATGTCTCCACGGATGAGATGTCTCCCCTCATTACGTCTGACACCATTTCCCCTCGTCCTATCACCACAGACCCCGCTGAAGAGCCGGTCCCCTCCTTTCTCACAGCCCCTTCAGACACCGACAGGCCGTCCTCAGCTCTCCCCGCAGCCTTCTCCTCTCCAGGCTGAACAGCCGCAGCTCTCTCAGCCTGGCAAGACAAGTCTCGCTTATGTCAAAAGCAAACTAGAGAGGAACTACGAGAGTTCCGCCGATCCAGCAGCAGTGAACGCGGTTACGTCACGGGACGGCCACGCCAGACCTGATGTGCGCCTGGCTGTATCTGCTCTCTCCGGCCTGGTCGGTGATGGCCGCGGCCAGCCGCTTCCAGCCCTCCTGCGGGTCGAGGAGGTCGGCCAGCCGCCTCAGCAGCCCGTAGCGCAGGCTGCGGACGTAGGTGGCGGCGGTGACCGGCTGGCTCATGGCGAGGCCAGGAACAGCGGACGGACGGGGCGGAACCACAGGTAGGTAGCCGGAACTCGATCCCCTTGCCGGGGCTGCCGGCCGGCCCCCAGCTCCCGCCGTTCTTCCGGGACGACACCGCAGCACTTCCCCGTTTCGAAGCCTTGACGTAACCTCCGCACCGCGGAGGCAGCGCCTCCTCCCGCTTCCTGCAGCGAGGAGGGCCCGCCCTCCCGCAGCGCGCCACAGCCGGCAGGCGAGGTTGGTGGGGGGGGCGGGTGCAGCTCTTCGCGGCCGTTCCCCCTCTCCTGGACGAGGTAGCGGTGGCCGGGGGGGGTCGGTACAAGCGGCGCCCCCTGGCGGCCGCTATGGGAGCCGGGGCGGCTGTGCCTGCAGCCAGCAGTAGGGGGATGATTTCCCTCCGTTTTCTGTTTTCCCTCTTAAAAAAAAAAAAAAAAAAAAAAAAAAAAAATAGTGTTGTTATTAATTTTTTCTCCTCTCGCAGCGGCGGGCAGGGGAGTCATGCTGCGCTCCCTCAGTTACGTGACCGATCATACCGGCTTCCGCGGGACGATCAAGAAGGCTCCCGCTGACTTCGTGGTGAGGGAGCTGGAGCTGCCGCAGCGCCCCGCGGCGCCCCGGGACGTCAGCCCGCCGCAGCCCGACCTGCCGGCAGGGAGTCCGCCCGCTGCCTCCGCCTCAGCCAGCGCCGGGGCTGGGGGCGCGGTGGTGCCTGCCCGCCGTGACCCTGTGTCGTACCCTGAGCAGAGCCGCTGTGCTGGGGGCGTGAAATCCGGCCCGGAGGCAGCCGCTCTGTTGGATTCCCTTTTGGGAAAGCCCGCGAGTGAAAGGCTTACTAAATTTGCTTGTGATCTGAAGGAGGCGTGGGACTCAGAAAGGGCTTGTGATGTCGGTGCCGGGGAATTCTCTTTGGGAGCCGTGGTGGATAAGAGAGATCGGGCCGATTTGCACGGCGCCATCAGGCAGAGATTTCCCTTCTTAGTCACTGTGACAAAGGACAACGAAATGGTTGTGAAAGGAAACGCTGACTACAGAGAACTCTGTCAGCTAGTGACTGAAAAGGAAACAAGCGATTTCTTTAAATTTTTAGACGCCAAGCTGGAAAATTCCACCTTTTCTTTTGAGCCTGATGGAAATAAGGAGCACAGAAAAAAGGTTCACCACTTCATCAATAAAAAATTTGGGAAAATTTTAGAAACAAAGTCTTTTACTGTGGAAGATGTCAGTTGTAAGCCAAATATGTCAATAATGGTAAGGTTTAGAGAGAAAAGTTGCTCCAGAAAGAGGTCTGCTGATGGTTTCCAGATAAAGCAAGATCTTTATACAGGTAAACATTACATTTTTAGTGGAAGTGTGGGGGTACTGTGGTGTTCTGCAGTAATACCATCAGAATCATTTTAGAATGGTCAGTATGGTCCAGTATGTGGATTTAAGAAGATGTGTTCAGATGCTGGGCAGTTTAGTGAGTTCAGATTTGATTTTATGATCTCATTTCTTAAGGGCGTTGCTAGCATGAAGTCAGGTTACTGGAATTGCATTGCATTTGATCAGGTACCACTCTGAAAGCCAGCAGGGGTTTTTTATTGTTTTCACTTTGTTTATTGTGTCTTTATTCTTTTAATACTGAAAATGTCCTCTTTCCTTTAGTTTTGTGGAGTGGGAGTTGTCTCTGCAGTTGTCATGCTGTTATGGTTTGAAAGGAAGAACCTGAAATCAGCCATGGCAGAGCACCTGTATGATATAGAAGTGCAAATTTCTAATAATTCTGGGATGATTGTTTCAGCTTTCACCCTTCAGAAAGAAAATCTAGAGACACTGGAAGCAATCAGCTGCTTGGCTGCTGAACTTGGAGTTCTTCCCTCAGACTTCAGTTACACGGGCATCAAAGATAAGAAGGCTATTACGTACCAAATGATGGTTGTGAAGAAGGTTACTCCTGAGAGGTACTGACAATTGGGATAGCACTGTTCTAATTTGCTATTAAGTACCAAGCTGCTGCAAGGTTCCTAATGCTTTGTCTTTCCCTCCTCCTGTCTTAGACCACAGTGGCAATGGCTTTAATGTTTTGTGGCTTCTGGGTATATACAGTGTAGCACTGAAGTCCCCCAGTGGAAATTTAAAGAAAAATTTTCTTGTCATACTATGAATATACAATATTATCTATCCTTCTAATTCATGATCATGTGATCCACTTCTTAATTTAAGTTCATCTGCTAGCTGGAAGAGAGAGGAAACCTATACAAAACCCAGCAGTTTTGTCTTGTGATACACAGACAACAACGTAACTTACAGAGAATAAAAAGAAACAAGCAAAATTACCTTTAAAGTAAATAACTGCATTTGTACTTTGGACAGATGTTTATTTTGAGTGTTGAATATGAACTTCTATTATATTGTGCATCACAGAAACATGAGTCTAAGTAAAGAGGATGTCAGCATTCATGAGGATAGAAATACATTCTGGATAACTTGCTGATAACACAAGATGTTCTCATTTTTTGCCAACTCAGCGGGTAAAAAATAAGTATTAAAGTTCTGCAGTTGCAGTAAAAAAAGTTGCTGGTGTAAAAACCACAACTTATTTCTTCCTCAACTTTAACTTTCAAATAAAAGAAACTAGAATTTATGCTTTCAGGGTTCAATATTAATTCAAACAACTATCAATAGTAAAATTCCATTGCAAACTAGGCCATTTGTTCAAGAGAATTAGCAAAATGGTTGCTTCCAAGCTGCTGGTTAATCAGGAAAAATGATTTACTGAAGTGTTAACATGTTGTTTAAAATGTAAGCTGAAAGTTTCCCTTGAATTTAATTACTTCCTTATATATAAGAACAGAGAGATTGAGTGGATGCTTTAAAGGGCAAATACTTGAGCCATCAGCTGCATTTCCAATTACAAGCACGTGCAAGCATGCTCAGAGAATTGGTGTTCTGAGTTTGTTTCTTTAAGACTTACTTAACAAGAGCGAGCAAATTGTTTTGGAGACTGCTAGAGTGGCAGACATTGCTTTTTCCTTTTTCTTTCTTTTTCTCCTCTTCTATTCTCTTTTTCTTCTCTCATCTCCTGTTTTCATGAGAAACAAATTTCTAGGACTTCTAACTTCTTTGTTCAATAAAAAGAATAAAATTCACTTTGGGTGCCTTGAGAATGTTCAGTGAATTGCTTAATTCCCATACCTGTCAAACTACAAAACATAACTGAAGTTATACATAGTCTGAAGATATTTATGGACTGCAGCTAAATCTTTAGACTATCTCTAAGTTTGAGTTTACTTTCTCTGTTTTAAATCTCTTTTGAATTCTATTAAATCTTTTTAATTCCAGTGCAAAGGTGAAGAAGACATTCTATTACAAGTTGTGTAGCTTTAATTGCAGGTGGCTCATATTTTCTCCCAATTATTTATACAGGTTGAAAGACATTGAAAGCAAACTGGAAAAAAAGGGCATGAGAATACACAGCATACATTCAGCACACCAGCATCTTAGACTTGGTCAGCTGAAAGGCAATCACTTTGATATAGTTGTGAGAGATCTCAAACACCACAGTCATGATTCTCCCGTAGATCTGAAAGAAAGAATATCTGAAGCAATGGAAAATATTGAGGTAAAAAGCCACTTGGCTGCAATAAAGAGCAGGGTTGCGATGGCAGAGTAATAGCAATGTTTCCTTCCTTGTGATACTTTTTTTGCTATTTTATGGCTTTCTTGCATTACTCAAGGAACTGGGAGCAAAGCTGCACCCTGAAAGGTGACCACGTGTGCATTCATTCTGTGTTATGGATCTGAGTCCCTAATGTGGTCAGAAAGACAGATGGGATGTTTGGTAGTAAATGAGTATTGAGGTATGGGCTGTCGTGGTACAGATCTAAGGCCAACCAAAGTGCTGTGTTTTACAGTAAAAAAATACACATGTCAACTGCTTGCCTTTTTTGTCACATGAACAAAATATGGAGGCTTGGGGAAAAAAAATATGTATGTAATTTCCATGACATAAATACATCTGAAATGCCTTTAGAAGACAAAGAAGATTCTCTGAAATTCTATGGATTTTGAGTGTAGATCCACCCTGAAGAAAACCTCATCATCAGGCATTCTGAAATCGCTGAGAAGTGTAGAAGAAAGTCATGAAAAAGAAAAAAGTTTAGGTGTTTCCTATGGCAGTAATTTTCTTAACCTTTCTTTCTAAGCAGTAACTGCTACACAGATTAAGATGATAAATCCTGAAATAAAGACTTCAACAAAAACTATCCAGTGTGCAAAGACTAAATAAATGATATGTGCAGTGAAAAATTTTGGAGATTAGTTTTACTACTGAAAAAAAGAGCACATAACCAAGTGGTTCTTTAATGCTCTTCTGTCTTCTACATCTCCCTTTTTTTTTGTTTCGCTGTTTGGGAAAATGAACAGAAATTCCTTTGGTGTCCTGCTTTCTTAGAGTTAACCTATTGGTCAGATGGTGAATGACAGAAATGGCATCTGTATTGATCCAAAATAAGGATTTTTCATCCTCCATGGAAACAAAATCGCATGTTGGTCCTAGGGGAATCCAAAATAAGGTTAGATATTTTGAATTGACTTTCTGCCCCATGAATATTTGTTAGTTATTTTTTTTTTGTTTTAAAAAAGGGTGGAGGTCACGTGGCTGTGATTTTACTGCCCTCGTGTGACTTACCACTCATCAGGAGATTTGAAGTCCTGGTTAGCAGAAATGCTTACTCTTGCTCTTTACTATGTTAATAATCATGCAAACAATCTCATGAGAAAGAGGATGAGTATTTTAAGGAAAAAATATCCAACAGCTGCTACTGTTCATTACATCTGCTGTGCTTCATTTGCTTCAGTAGAGATTTCATTTATTAGAGATTCGGCACATAGAAAGAGCTCAATTACTTTGACTTGAACTGTGGTAGTGCTTATAATAATGACACAGAAATTGTCTTGTTTCATTTACCAATTTTTTATAAAAGGAAGAGTAAGTCTTCACTGTCTTTTTAGATGTTTCTAACTCAACAGCTAAAATGTAATGAAACAGGAGTTAAGATTCATCTGTTATTTCTAATTTAAAAAAGCAGCGTATATGTTTTGGATGTAAATACAAGTCTGTGTGTTGAATGCTCAATCTCACTAATGGTATCCATTATTTTGATGTTTTTAAAATATTTGTTCTCTCTAATTCTAGGCAAAAGGTTTTGTGAATTATTATGGACCTCAGCGGTTCGGACAAGGACAGAATGTTCAGACAGATCAAATAGGATTGGCTCTACTGAATGAAAAAATGGTATTTTCACTGTGTGATTTAAATACTTACTGTCAAGTTCATTTCATGTTATAGTTGCCATAACTGGTGCTCAGTACTGACCTTCCCAGTGAGCAATTTCACTTGTGACGTGAACCCATATGTGTGCTGGAAGTAGTTGCCAAATCAGTTTTGAATCAGTTTTGAACCTTCATTCTGAATTAGAAAAATCTGTTTTAATCAGCAGGTGTAGCTGTAAGCTGTTCAGGAATTGATTCTTCTGTCTGTAGTGTGATTGTCATCATGCCTCTTCTCAAGGAAGTGGCTGCACTCTTACAAAGGTTGAACACTAAAATGAAGCTGTGTTTATGTACAGTGCTTATCTGGGGTACTTCTTGTCTCCTAACCTATAAACTCTTTATCCCACTGGAGGTCTATAGTGTTACAAATGTGGCAAGATACTACATAGGACCATACAAAAGGATTTGCTTTTTCAGTACCATGCTAATTTGTCTTCTGTATAGCAGAGACTTCTCCTTTTCATAATTCCTTGGCTACCTTGCCAAAATCTTAGTTCTGAGCAAATGTTCCCTGTAAGCTAAGGAGACCTTACTTATTAAGTAATCATTTGTAAGATGAGAGTCATATACTTTCCAGTGTATGTAGCTTTGTGTTTGGCCTATGTTTAAAACAGAATCAGACTCTTAAAAGTCAGATGAATACTTGAGTATTTTCTTCTTCTAATCTTGTTTTGATTCTGAGAAATCAGGAAAATTTATCCTGCAAATATAGGGGGAATCTGACATTTTGCATGTTAATATTAGGAGTTCAAACCACGTATCAATTCCTGCGGAGTAATGATATAAGTATCTATAGCAAAAAAGTAACTCAGTTACTTTTGAATTTAAAACATGCAGAAACTACTATTTGTATTTAAAATGTACCAATACACGAACAGTTCAGTGCAGAGGAGGACAAGAATAAAATGTTAATAAAACAGATAAACAGAGATAGTCACAGGTTGGTTTTTACAGCAGCAAATTGATTCTCTCCTGGTGTTGCAAGTAGCAGGGGTTAGCTTAATGTTTTCCCAGTTACTGACCCATTCCCAGTGTCAGATCAGTGTAAAAGCAGTTGTTGCCTCTCTGTGTGACACTATGGAAAGTGCTGTGTCTGTGTTACATGAAACATGCTGGAGACAAAGAAGAAGGAATCTTCCAGCTCAGTGAGGTCTATGATCACTCTTCATCATCATAGAATGATGGCACAGATTTGTATGCATTGCTGTTTGTTTCGTTGAGAAATGGTTATTTTTAAATGCAATGAATGTAAATTATGGCTTTTAAAGGTGAAAGCTGTAAAATTATTCTTCACACCTGAAGATACCGATGACCCTGTGAATAATGCCAAAAGATACTTTCTTCAAACTGGTAAGGCCACTTAAACTGCCTATAAATCTATTCATTGTAGGTACCATGAGGGAATGAAGTGTTGCTGCTCGGAGTGACACTTTTTATTTTGCTGCCTCTGTACTGCTTATAGCTTATTCCAAGGGACTCATTAGAATTTCATATCTGATTTTTGAAAATAAGATCAAAGTCGGGCCTCAGATGTGCAAAATAGTGGAATACTACTGTATTTCAGGTGCAAGACAGTGCAGAAACCAATGCTCTGTGGCAGTGTAATGCTGGAAAAGACTGCGATCGTTTTTTTTTGAAGCAATTTTGGCCTGCTTCAGCCTGTTTTCTTTTGAAATATAATTTTTCCTCTCTTAATTTAAAAGGAACTATGGAGAATGAGGCACCTAACTCACATTCAGCACTTAACATGGTTGGGCATCTAATTTTCAGAATTTTCTATATTAATCTTATGTCTTGTTTTTTGCATCTTTAGGCCTGGCTTTCATGTCTTTTCAATTATGTGTTTTCTTCCATGCTTTCCCATGATCCACATTCTTTGTTTTTTTATCTGAATTCAACAAAATATACCAAAGACACAGTGTGCTAAGTAAAATGCTCTTTGTCATATTGTTGTTATCATTCAACTTAACTTTCTCTCCAAAACTAGAAATTTTGAATTGCTCTTGACTAAAGATGCTTGAACTTTGGAAGTCTTCTTCAAGGTAGCCTGTATATCATTATACATTGGTAGAACAGCTACACTGTATAGCTTCAAGAGGCACAGATACTGTTCATTGCACAGATGAGATGATTATTCTGTGCCTTACACTGCTGTACGGTGTACTGAAAGACATTGGTGCAAGCTCTGAAAGCAGCAGCGTGCCTTTTCCTAAAAGCAAAAGGTAAAAGGCTGTGCAATGGCTCCTTCAGATAATCACTCTTTAGAAGAAAAATTAAATAGGAAATATATGCAAAACGTAAACATTTAAACATTTAGATAATATAGTACAAATAGGATTAAATATAATTTCATCGTGGTTGAGGCTCAGACCTGAAAATCAGCATAAAGAGGTTATCTTCATTTTTTTTCTGACCTATTTAATCTGTTTAAGTGTGGTTTTCTTTTCCTGACAGGAAGTATTAGAAAAATCAATGATAACTTATGTGGTTATTTTTGTTTATCTCAGAAGATGCAAAGGGGACACTCACAATGCTGCCAGAATTTAAAGTGAGAGAGAAGATGCTGTTACGTGCTTTACATCGCTACGGTGTAAATCAAGAAGGCTGTACTAAAGGATGGCTCAGTATTCCTCATTCAATGCGCATATTCTACGTCCATGCTTATTGCAGTCAGGTATGGAATGAAGCAACATCATACAGGCTGAAGACTTACGGTTCCAAAGTTGTTGAGGGTGATCTGGTCTTCTCAGAAGAAAATGACGAAAGCCTTTCCCTGAATGACAAGGTGAGTTTTTTACAAAGTAGTTCTTGTAAAGAAAAATTTGCTTAATATTTCTATATTCATTTACTTGAAGACATTAAGGTGTCAGACAGTAATCGAGTGCTTTCATTTTGATTTGTCCATTTAAATACTTAGTGACAAAGGTGAAAAAAGTGAGCATTTAAATTTTGGATTACCACCAGTAGATATATGTTCTAGATGCATTTTAATAGCCCTTATCTATTTTGACCATTTGTTTTATTCAACGGAGGAGGAGAAACAGAATGGCAAAGTTGATGTAAGAACTTAGCCTGCATGGTGTCTGATGCTCTTCTGAGGACCTTCCTGGGGAAAACCTTCAGGGTGAACCTATATTCCTAGAATCATACAATGGTTTGGGTCGTAAGAGCCCATTAAGATCACCTAGTTCCAACCCCCTGCTACAGGCAGGGACACCTCCCTTGAGACCAGGTTGCTCAAAGCCCCACCAAGCCTGGCCTTGTATGCTTCCATGGAGTGTATTAACAACTTCTCTGGGCAGCCTGTCTCAGTGTCTCACCACTCTCACAGTGAAGAATGTCTTCCTAATATCTAGTCTAAATCTGCTCTTTTCCAGTTTAAAACCATTTGCCCTCATCCTGTTGCTACTGTTATCAGTCAGTGTAGATCTCAGTCTTGTTCTCAAGGTTAGACCTTACCATTCTTCCTGTGGAGGCATTTAACTTTCTCCTAATTATCAGGTAAAACATAGAATTTAGCAGTGTTGTACCTCATTTCTTGAGTGGAAATTCTTATAGATACGAAGCAAGAGTACTTCAAAGAGCACTGAACAATTTTCAGTCTCTGAGAAGAATAATTGTTTCCATTGTGATTTTTCTTCAATAATATTTTTGGGAAAAGATGTTAATAAATCAAGTAGGAAAAACAGAGCTGCCAAGTATAATACTAAGTTACTGAGTTAATATATAATCCTATTTATTGTAATACATTCCAATTCATTTTTTTCCTTGTGATGATGTTAACACAGAATTGTAGCTGACTTTATATTAAGCATCTGTAATATTTTTAGATTGAAATAGATTATTTGCCCTTACAGTAGTCAAATAACATCAAAATCCTTGAAAATTTTAGGAGTTCAGTGTGTGATTCCTATAATAATCTGTATGTTTTATTTGAGGAAAGTTCGTTTTTCTTAACATCTCTTTACATGTATTGTCAGGTTCATGTTGTCACTGCTCTAGAAGAGTCAGCTAACAAGTACTCTGTACACCAAGTAAGTCTGTGTGAAAAATTCTGTGTTGTTGATTTCTACTTGATTGAAAGTTTTGTTTTTAAAATAATATGATAAAATTAACTAGTGCAGTCTCATTTCCTACCAGAATGCATACTGAAGAAAACATGTGTGAACTAACCTGCACTCTGAAAACAAAGAGAAGGAAGAGTACTTACTTTGTAGTGGAAGTTAGTACAATGTCATTTGCAGTATGGTCATACTCTTCTTGGAGTTGAATGTAAATTCTTTGAAATCTTTTTAGTCTATTTCTGGGAAAAATGCTCAAGGGTAACTGATGTAATTTTTGAAGGTTCAGAGCATCATGAAGTCATACATATGCAACTTAATGTCTTCTTTGCTGTGCCTTTCCCAGCAAATTAGGTAATTCATGTTAGTGTACTTCTAGTTCATTTTAGAAATCATTACACATTTATTATTTTGTTCTGCCTTTCCCTTAAATTACATCCAAGATACCTGCCTTGCACAGTTGTTTTTAAAAAAAAGTAGCTGCCTTTTAACTATTTCAGGCCCCAAACGCATTTAAAATTGTAATCATATTTTTTAAAGGGAAATCACTGAGCTTTATTTATTTATTTATGTATTATTTTTTAAAGGTTGTTCTTCCAATGGTGGGCCATAGTATCAAGTATCCAAGTAACAGAGTTGGGCAGTGGTACCGTGAAAGACTTTCTAAGGATGAGCTGCAGATGTGCAAATTCCGAGTGCCTGCATTGCAGCTGAACATACCTGGGTGCTACAGACACATCTTGAAAAAGGTTCAGAATCTTTCCTATTTTTTGGAAGGCAGTGAAGAAGGAAGCAAAGTTGAAGACAACCATCTGAATGAGTCAAAAGTAGCTCTTCATGTATCATTTGACCTTGATCCTTCATGCTATGCAACAGTCTGTCTCAGAGAAATAATGAAATGTGACTTTTAAGATTTCAGTTAATGAAAGACTGCAGGAATTTTATACCAGTGCTTATATTTTTGTATAATGCAAAAAAAGAAAAATAAAAAAATCACAATTTCAAACCAGGAACAGCAGTAATTAATAGATTGAGATTCATACTGACTGGGGAAGAAAACCACCGGAGTCCCAGTTCCAGAAACATTCCAAACCCTGAATGCAAATCTAGAGTAAAAAAGGCAAAGCTGTGTGTTGTGTCAGACAGGTTTAACAGAACTTAAAGAAACTGGGCTGCAAGCATGAATTTCACACTTGCACAGACATCCAGCCTGCAGTTGTGACCTGGAAACATGTTTGCAGCAAATAGACATGTCTTTTATGTCACAGTTATTTTTTAAAAGCTGGTTGATACTAAATATTCGGGGACACTGAGTAGCAGTTATGTCACAAGTTGTAACCTACAGGAATCAGCCAAGAAGCTGCTGTACTGAGATTCACTGAATTTGTTTTGTTTTCATTGCATTCACATACAAAGTACTAAAGGTAGAAGTCCTGAACCACGAGTAATAGATTACCTGGCACACTGTCAGTCATTTGAATACTACAGTTTAAATTAATGCTGATGATTCCAGGACTAAGTTGTACATAACTTTCTAGATAGTGCTTATTCAAGTAAGCTCAGTAAGATGAGGTGTGTAATTAATAAATTGCAAAAAAGTTCATAGTAAAAACTAAACGCTGATTTATTATTTATAGGGAGGAGATTCTATTCCTATTACTGTAAGGTCTTATGGTGACAAAGACTTTTTAATGGAACCACTTCTGGGAAAAAAAAAACACAAACTGTTATATTCTTTTTAATATATTTAAAAAGTTAACTGTGATAAAATGAGTGCATTTGTGGACAAAGGAAGAGCAAAGAATGTAATTTACCTTGACGTTTCAAGGCTATTCTTGCAGCAAAGTTCAGAGGTATTTTCTAGATGAGTTTACAAATGAGATAAAACAAAAAAGTGGTTGGAAGAGGTTAGAATAGAGGTTAATGGATCATATCCTTATTGGAGTGAATACCCTAGGGGTTTCTCCTGGGCTCTGTGCTATTTAGTGACTTTGTCAGTGACCTGGAAGGGGGCATGGAGTTCACCTGCAACAAGTTTGCAGTTCACACCAACATAAAGGAACAAAGGGAAATACTGGGGAATCTGTCTTCTAGGGGGACGTAGACATGTTGGAGGAATGTACCAACAGGAACCTTACAGGAGTTAAAGAGGAGAAATGCAAAGTGCTACCCCTGGCAAGAAAGCACCCCTGCAGCAGGCCAGGCTGGAGTGCAGCAGCTATGTGGGAGCAGCAGTGAGCAGCTGAGCAAGGGTCAGCCATTTGTCCTGGCAGCAAAGGCCTCCAGCAATCTCCTGAACTCTGTTAGCAAGGACAGAGCCAATAAATCAAAAGAAAGATCTAATTTTTCTGCATGTTAGATCACATTTAATTCCTGTGCTCAGCTTTTATCTCCAGTGCAACCAAAAATGAGTTTAATGAAGAACTCCCAAGCTAGTTGGGGGCTGAGCATTTGTCCTTGGAGGAGAGGCTGAAGGAGCTGGGCTTCCTCAACCTGGAGAGAAGACAGGTTTGGGGTGGGGCTGGGGAGCCAGCAGCAGCTCCCACTGCCTGTGGGGAGGTTAACAAGAAGATGGCACCTGGCTTCACAGAGGTGCTTGGTAGGAGGAGACATAAACAGGCATAAACTGAAATGTTCAGCCTGATTATAAGGAAATACTTTTTTTCTGTATAAGGACAGTGGGGGCAGTGGAACAGTCTGTGCAGTCTTCAACCAAGGAGATTTCCACAGCCCAACAGAGCAAACCGGTCTGATCTCAGATGTGACCCTGCCTGGCCTAGAGAGCAGAGATCACTTCCAGCCTCAATTACCCTGCTATTCTAAGCAGAGTGGTGTGTCTATTCTAGCTGTAGATGGCAGCATGACTTAAAAGTAGGACGGAGAACTCAACCCATTTTTACAGAGAGAATTAATATCGTGAGTTTTGTTTATGGCATCAGTCTTTCAGTTGTTGGAACAGTGAGGCAACGCAAATCTCCAAAGGTTGATAAACCACTTATTTATGCAACTTTTATAGATATACAACTCTCAGGATTTCAAAGCTTGCATAAAATTATGTAGCAATGACAGATCTGGATATTTCACTGCTTTAAATAAGAGGATTATTCTGTAAGTCTGTGTAAGTCATTCAAAATGTGACCCTTAGCATTAGTATGGGAAAATAGGTTGTCATGCAAACAATAGCTGCAGAGCCACTGGGGGCAACTTAGAATGCTTGCTCTATTACAGTGCTTACATTACACCTCAGTTTTATGGTGTGCATCCAAACCAACTGAAAAATCCATTTCCGTGGCACAAGCCAGCCAAGACAGCTTCGTTCCTGTCTTTGCTTTTCAGTATCACCTCTTCTGTCTTCCACCTGCACTTAAAAATACCATTCTTTATTCTGTAAAATGATTTTTAATTTTACAGAATCATTTTGCTACAGTGCTGCTCAAAAAGAGTTGTCAATACTCACGTATGAAAGTGCAGACAAGATGCTGCATGCAGTCACAATAACCAGAAGAAAAAAACTGGCATTTTTTTCTACATAATTCTACATAAACTACTGTGGTCTTCTTTCACATAGCTCAAAACAGCCTTGAAAACTGTCTCATCACAAACAAGATTTGAATACGCAGCATTAAAAGTTGATCCTTGTTTTGGAAAGATGTGAAAGGTCAGATTAAAACATTTTTGACTGAAGGCATTCTATTTAAAAATGAAAGATCAGAAGGTGGAGCTAACAGAGTTCCTCTATAATCATTTTAGGCTCATTTGTCAGTACTACTGTTGAACAATAAAAGAGCTAATCTTCTTAAGCAAATCATTCTTTCAGCAACTTTATGTGGAAGAGCTAATTATGTGTTTCGGTGGGTTAAATTCCTTTAAGATAAAAGTTCTAGTAGGAACAAGTCAGGTTAGCTATTAGAGTGTTTATATGCTAAACATCCTGATTATTTCAGTGGGCATTTATTGCTAAATCATTCTCTAAATCTCACCAGCTTTTTGCAGGATTATGTACATGAACTGTTGAATTAAGGACTTTTGTGTGAGTGCAGTACTCAGCTTTTTAAGGCTAACCTACAGAAGTAATACAGCTGTGTCCCTGTGTTTGGAAAAGAAGATAATCACTGTGTACTGATCTGAGTTTAAGGAAAAGGTTGATGTCTTGGTGATCTCTCTCTTAAGTACTTGTATTGCCACCATCCTTTTCTGATAAGCCTCAAAGCACTTTGCTAATACTAATGAACACAGGTCTCTGACTCTGTTTCTAACAAAAGGGGTTTTAAGTTGAATAGCGAGTTGGTTTTTTCATTGGATGTGATAGGTAATCAAGTATTTGAATGGGAAAGAATGCAAATGTTCTTAAGCTGTGAAACGTTGTTACATTTAATTTCTTTTGAATTTGACGAGTATTATCCTCAATAAGTATATACAAATTTTCAGATTTTCCAAAATGAGATGGGTTAAAATTACATTCTTATCATAAAGACAACTCAGAAGCCAGGTAGATGTGTGAGTATTGGCCAAATCCATTTATCCAACCTCATTATCTCTTCTCTCAGTGTTGACATCTGTCAGCCGATGGTCTGATCCGCCGCACCCAGCTGATGAGCACAAACTCCTTTCTATTCCCTTGAACAATTTCTGCCCATTATAAAAGCTCAAGGAATCAAGCTGAGAAACTATTAACACTTTCTCTCAGTCCCCAGCCGTGCCTTCCAGCACATTGGTTCCTTTTTAATTTCTTTAAGATGAAGCTAAAAAGTGAGCTCCAGCTGCACACTGGGCCCACTTTACGTTCAGATAGAGGAACAAGGGTAAGAAACAGAAGTTGATAATTTGGGCAGCTTCAAACCCTGCACGAGTGTGTTCCATTGTGAAGCCTAGACAACATTAAGTACAAAGTGAAAAAACTGAATCATTTTAAAGGTGGAGGGTCCTCAATACTCCGAATGTATTCATCTGCTTCTGTTGCACCTAATAGCTTGTTCATGTGGCATTAGTCGAGCACGTCATGTTTGCAAAGAAGGCAGAATCAATGAAATCCTGTTTGCAGCATCAAGGAGAATTTTCTTCATTCCTCTTGGTGGAAGTCAGAATCTTGTATTATGGCAGTTGAAACATGTTTTCAGCTTTTACACCAGTGCTTTCACCCACCTAGGATAGTGGGGTTTTTAATTAGCTTTAGAAATGATTGATTGAAATAAGCAAAGATTGTATCTTTCAGAGCATTCCTGCAATTAAAAACTTAAAGCCAAGTCAGTTCTTTCCTGTTTGACATTTGTAACAAAAAGTAAGAATCAATTGCTTGAAATTTGAATTTGGGAGACAAAAGGCCAAGTTCTGATCCAGATGGAAAAGGCTTGGAATTCATGTGCTGTATTCACCAGATCATTCTACAATATGCAACTGGCACAGCTATAGGCCCACTGTTAGTACTTTAGGTCCTAGAAGTAAGATATCAGAAAGACTGTCCATGCGAATCCTCCTCCAGAAAAGTTTTGGGATGAGAAAATGAGGAGATGTTTAGTTCATTTTCTGCGTACACAGCAGCAGAACTGAGATAAGGTGGGAACTCAGATTCCTCAAGGATGTGCATGTGCTAAGCAGGAAATTTGAGAGTGTTGATAATAACGCAACTATTGCTGAAAAGCCAGTACTCAAGAGGCAACATCTCATAGAAAATCAAGCTAAGCATTCAGTTGTCAAATATTAGGTCTGTAAGCTGGGGGTTAACAGTATCAGTTAAGAGTGTATCTTTTTAATCCTGAATTTATACCTAAAGATCTGATATAATATGACTGCAAACCACAACTGCCTTTGCCACAGAGGAAACAACCGTCACTTAACAGCAGCAATGCAGAGTCATGGACTGTGTGCTTGTGATACATCCCAGACAACAAACCAACCTCTGACTCGCCGCCAGCATCCCATTGGAGTGATGCAAGCATCACTTCCCTCATGCAGGCAGAAATTATGAGGAAGGCGAAGCCTGCCTCTACTCTAACCTGCCAGAGTTCATCTGATG